CAGCTGTCAAATTGCATCCTAGTTTACTTTGTATATCTCACATCTCTTTTCCGCTTAGATGCAAGGATAAGTACTTATTTTGTCTTGTTTTCTATAATTGAATGCTATATAAGCAAATTTAGTGACTCTTCTTTCTTTCCTTTTTGTCTAACTTTCAGCTGTCGCCGTGAATGCAAAGCTTCAGTACTCTGTTGTGGAAGTGCAGTCATTCTCAGAAGATGAATCTGCTGTGACAGGCAATAAAAAGAAAATGCCTGGGAAGGTTCTAAAGAATCAACAAAAGCTTTTCGTGATTGTAGCGACCGACCTTGTGCCAGCATTAGAAGCGAAATGGGGTGTGAAGCTTATCATAAGTAAAACATTCCTTGGTTCAGATCTTGAAAACTGCAGGTTACATTTTAAGTTAGAGAATAAAAGAAATTTTAGTTTTGCATGTGATGCTATAAATTGAACCCCTTAGTTTATGGTGTGTCATCATGGTTGTAGGTACATACATCCAATTGACAACAGGGACTGTCCAGTCGTTATAGGGGGTGATTACATAACTACGGAATCTGGAACAGGGTTGGTCCACACTGCCCCTGGTCATGGTCAGGAGGATTATGCAACTGGCCTGAAGTATGGGCTGCCTCTTATCTCTCCTGTGGATGATGAAGGAAAGTTCACTGAAGAAGCTGGACAGTTTAGAGGGCTCTCCGTCCTTGGAGAAGGGAATAGTGCTGTTGTCAGTTACCTGGATGAAAATATGTCTCTGGTCATGGAAGAATCTTATGGTGAGTTTGCTTCAGATGCTTACTGAGGAACCATTTGAGCAAATATGTGCTTCAGAGTCTCATAATTTAATTTCCTTCTTTTTCATGCAGCTCATAAATACCCATATGATTGGCGAACTAAGAAACCTACGATATTTAGAGCGACTGAGCAGTGGTTTGCATCAGTTGAAGGGTTTCGCACGGCCACAATGGATGCAATCAACAATGTAAAATGGGTACCAGATCAGGTACCTAGTTGAATACATACTGAGTTTATAAGTTGATATTTTTTCTTGAGTATGCGGGTTAAAAGTATCATGTGTGGATGTTAGCTGTGAAAGGCGACTCACAGCACATGAACTAAATGCTCTGATCCACCTTGCTGTGGGATTTTCTCAATGTTAAGATGATATCATACTGCTTGACTTAGTGTCTTTCCTTGTATTATCTTTTTTAAGAGATGCATATGTTTTGTTTGGAGTTTAATTTGGTACCTGTTATCTTTTGACAATTGTCATTCAGGCAGTAAACAGAATATCTGCCATGACTTCCAGTCGATCTGATTGGTGCATCTCGAGACAAAGGACATGGGGGGTCCCTATTCCTGCCTTTTATCATGTTGAGACAAAAGAACCCCTCATGAATGAAGAGACAATTAACCATGTTATATGTAAGGGCCTATAAGAGAGTATGGTCTCTGTATTGGTTGTTATTTACTGGCTGTGTTTTCTGTAACCTTAAATGTATACCTTGTCTGGCAGCTGTAATTTCCCAAAAGGGTAGTGATGCGTGGTGGTATATGTCAGTGGAAGACCTACTTCCTGAGAAATATCGTGATAAAGCAGCTGATTATGTAAAAGGGACTGATACAATGGACGTCTGGTTCGACTCAGGTACTATAATAACGAGAGCTAATTAAAATCAGATAGTCGCACAAAGCACCCAACAACTATTTTACATCACTTTCTTTCTCATCTGTATGTCCAGGATCTTCTTGGGCTGGTGTATTGGGGAAACGTGAGGGTCTTAGTTTCCCTGCAGACGTGTATCTAGAGGGTACAGATCAGCATCGTGGATGGTTCCAGAGTTCTTTGTTAACAAGCATCGCAACACAAGGTGACAAGTGCACGCCATGATGATCTCCTTATAAATTGAGATTATTCTACAGATTTTAGCTTTCTTGGTGTAAAGTGGCTTTTCATTTTTTTCTTTACATTTTGCATGATTGATATAGGAAAAGCCCCCTATTCTGCTGTTATAACACATGGATTTGTATTGGATGAGAAGGGTATGAAAATGAGCAAGTCTCTAGGTAATGTAGTGGACCCACGTTTGGTCATTGAAGGAGGGAAAAATTCAAAGGTTTGTCACTGGTATAACAACCCATTGTAGAAAAACATCTTCATTATCTATCCAATCTGTTTCCTGACAAGGGTTTGTCTTCTTATTCCAGGACGCACCTGCTTATGGAGCTGATGTTATGCGTCTTTGGGTTTCTAGTGTAGATTACACAGGGGATGTACTGATAGGTCCTCAGATTCTTCGGCAAATGTCTGATATATATAGGAAGTTGAGGGGAACGTTAAGATATCTCTTGGGCAATCTTCATGATTGGAGAGTAGGTTTCTAACTCTTAAGCTTTACATAGAGTAGTGTTTTTCTCCTCTTTCCCCACTTGTCAAGATTTCTTGCTTACTGGCGTCGGTGACAATCTTATAATATTTTAAGTTGTGGCCGTTTGTAGGTTGATAATGCTGTTCCATACGAGGATTTACCTATCATTGATCAGCATGCTCTCTTTCAGCTTGAGAATGTTGTAAAGAACATACAAGAATGTTACGAGAACTACCAGTTCTTTAAAATATTCCAGGTACCAAACCTCTCCGTGTGTCACGTTTTCTGACCGTGCCAATTTAATTGATTTGCTTTAATTTGATAGTGGAGAGAGGCCACATTAACTAAAAACAGGGAAAACAGACATAGATTACCCTTACAAGAGTTTGTCAATTAGAAGCATGAATATATCTAAGAAACTTTGATTCAGCAATTGGATCATTATCCATTAAGATGAGAGTAAGCTTGATGTATTTGCAGTGGACGGCTGAACCTCAGGAGGCTGAATTTCATGTTCTAGATCACCTGTGTTACTAACTTATCATTCTTTATTTCAGATCATACAACGATTCACAATTGTTGATCTTTCAAATTTCTACTTCGATATTGCTAAAGATAGACTGTATACTGGGTAAGATTCTCAACTTCTTCTAGGTTAATATTTGATGCAACCTATGTAGACATTTTCTTAATTGCATGTGCTATTCAACGTAATCTGGTCCAAAAATCTTTTTCTCAGGGGCACTTCAAGTTTTACCCGAAGAAGCTGTCAAACAGTTCTTTCAACACATCTTTTATCCATATTGAGAGTGATTGCTCCAATAGTACCTCACCTAGCGGAAGATGTCTGGCAGAATCTTCCATTTGAGTACAGAAATGAAGATGGCTCTGCAGCAAAATTCGTCTTCGAACTTAAATGGCCTACATTGAACGAACAATGGCTCTCATTTCCTGCTGAAGATGTTCTCTTCTGGCAAAGGCTTCTCGAGGTATTTAAACTCTCCTAAAATCATAGTGGATAAACTCAGCAATTTTCCCCATCTTTATACTCTCTACTCTGCTTATAATTAAAGTAATAGAGCTCCTTTGCTATTTAGTCGAGATGAAGTCAATGAAATGTTACACAATATCAGAATATTTAACTTGATGTCATGTCAAGATGATCATGTAATCAGTTCTTATGATATCGCATTATTGAAAGTTCTCTGGAAGAACTTTTTAGTTTAATCTTTATTTACTGGCCTTATTCTTCCTCAAGACGGCATTTAATTGATGCGCGTTATGTAATGAGGATCTTAAAAATGCTTATGGTGTTTATGTGACAGTTGAGGACCGAGGTGAACAAAGTGCTGGAGCTCGCACGTAATGAGAAAATGATTGGTTCCAGTTTAGAAGCAAAGGTGTATCTGTATACTGCAGATGCAGGAATGGCTACAAAATTACTAGAGATGAGTGAAGCAAAGAACGAGGCTGACACTCTGCAACGCATATTCATAACATCACAAGTAAGCACTATATCTACTTATGTGCCAAAATTCATATTTCGGTTATAGATCAAGATAAATTAAAACCATTATGGCCATCAAAAAATACCTGGGTTTTTCTTTGTAAGGTTCAGGTCAAACTACAAGTAGGCTCAATTGATCATTATAGTCACTCCATAAGATTCATTATGTGAATAGCTAAGTAAAACGTTTAGTGTAATTAGGGTACAAAGTGGAATTTTGACATTTTGGTTTATTCGCTCTGGTTTTTTCTCCTCAGATTTTGAAATGTATGGCCGTTTTTACTTATCCTAGATATAGTATTGGGACCCTAAGAGAAATGCTAATTAGATGTTAAAGGAAGAGTACTTTTATAGCAGTAGACACATGTAGGGATTAGATTTCTGGAAGACATCCTCGAAAGCCCCCTAAATGCCTAAGAGATAGGTATGAATGAATACACATATTGATCAAACGATTCCAATATGGTGATTCATCTTATATTATCCACAATTTTTGGATTTTTAAGTTGAGATTGGATCATATTGAGCACATTTCTATGAGACTACAGCCATGAAACTGATGTGGATTCATATTACAGGTTGAAGTATTGCCTTCAATGGAGAAGGAGATGGTAAGCAGTGTGCAACACACAGGAGAGTATGTGGAGGGAGAGAAGAAAGTGTGGATTGGTGTGTCACGAGCCGAGGGGTCCAAGTGTGAGAGGTGCTGGAATTACTCGGGCCAGGTCGGGTCATTTTCCAATCATCCTACTCTATGTGGACGCTGCTTCAATGTCATTGTTGCTAATCCGCCTGAGCCAGCAGTTGCAGCCTTAATCAGCTGAGCCTGAAATTTGCTTGCTCTATACTGTAACAGTTCCTTTTTCCATTGCACAGTTCACATTCTCTGATTCATTTTTGTTTCAGTAAACTCAATAAACCTAAATTTTGATATGTTCCCTTCCACCAAGAGCTTTTAACAATCAAACCAGAAACGTTCAGGGTTCAATTTTAAAAATTGCAGTGTAAGAACATTGTAGTACATATGTTCAATTAACCTGGCTTAGCACACAAACTAGAGTGATTCATTTGCTTGTAGAGGATCAAAAACCACGTGGCTACATAGTTTAAATAGAGTTGAACCAAACACTAATACGCAAGGTTTAATGTTTGAAAATTAGAGCTAAATCGTAGAAAGCAAACACAAAGTACAAAGGCATGGACAGAAGCAATTCTAGTTCTACTAGTTCTAGAGCTGAGCGTTTGCGGTTTGTTGTAGTAACTCTACTTCTTCCAAGTCATCGCTATGTATATGTATGTCCTGCACCAAGAGAATGTCCACACATGTTATAATGCTGAGATATACTTTTGCATAGATGCAAAGTTAAGAGAATTTGATGGTTTAAAAAATGGTGATATAGTTATGTATGATGGTATATCACACTTCTAGGGATGATACAACGCCAAATGATTAAACACAACAGTGATCATATCTTAATTGTTTAATCAAGACAGTAACAAATGCTTACTTGCGACTGAGCTGGTGGTTCTTGTGTAGGGTAAACTTGTGGCTGAGACATTCTATAATAGGGTTCCTTTAGATCGAGTTTGCATGATGATGTCTGGAGGATTCCACCTTGATTGGCACCGGGTCCCCACATTTTAGCTGTTTAAAAAGCCAATCAGAAACAAAGTCGAAAGTAGATGTTATGATTCAAAGGGAAAGATATCAGAAAGCGTAACTGACCTGAGAGAGTTAGATTTATAGTATAACTCTGAGCACTGTGGGCAACCAAATGAAGTCTACCAGTGATCTCTTGCCCTGCCATGACATGAATAGGCTGCGAGAGAACACATCTTATTTGGTACCAATGGGTTGTTGGTGCACCAGGAGCAGTCGTGAACCATCTTTGCACCGTGCTGTTGGATACAAAGCAAATCAGGTTTGTATGATATACCTTGATGGTCGGAAAGGAATATTAATCTTTAGCTAGCACAGGATGAAAACATATAAATTGTTATGGCTTGATACCTCCCGTCAAAGAGAACATCGAACCAGCACGCAAGTCCATGAATTCTGGTACACACAGACGCAGTGAACTTCAACGGGATATCAATCTCGTAAAATTGTTCTTCCTGTGAAAACAAATAGACAGTTATTGAGTTTGGATCATGCCATTCACTAAACAGGGACGACTACACATAGAAATAGTATGACAGAAAAGTGTCCTCGATTTAAGGAAACACCGTGGAACCGAATCTCATGTAGAAAATAGCTATACCGTCATCTTAGTGAAATCTATCAGATGAAACATTGAGGGAGCCACCAATAATCTCGGATCAAATGCATCAACCGACAACCACGGGCTACAAAATCAGTGAATATGAAAAATCGTAAAGGATGAGACAAGCAAAAATATATCAGTGATTCACTGGTTGTAAATGGATATACCTGGGAAAAATAACCCTGGTGGGCTGATACATATAGAGGTGTCAAATCAACGCCATAATAGTTCTGTTGCTGCCAAAACAAAGCCTGCATAAAGAGGTAGAAAGCCTAAGTTACTGAAAGCCTAACCATCGCATACTTAATTCAACCATTTTCTTTTATGTTATAAGCAATCTCAGACATATCTTCCTGATAAGATGTGCATTATGTACCTTATTTGCCATTTCAACAAATAAGAATTCATCGGCGAAAGGTGCCATGTGGATCCTACAGTGACAAAGTTACATGAGAAAGAAGACATTTATGAGACAGAAAAGTAAAACTATCAGAGATCAGCTTTACCTTCCAACTGTCGGAAACATTTTTCCGTTTGGAGACAGAAAGCGGTCCCTAGCAATAACATATGTTTCCAACATCCTCTCATTGACCAATAGGGTGCCTACAGACACAGATTTATTAAGTATAAGAGATATTCTTTCAAACAAATCATTAAAACTTTGAATCAGCAATGATTTTCTCCATTTATATTCTCACAGACCAAAATTTGCCTTCTGAAAGATTCTGATTTTCATGAAGAGCACGTGAAAAGAATCCGTCTCTGAAACACATACCCATTGGTTCAGAGATCAAAACATCGGCCTTCTCGGGCAACTCAATATCCTCAATTTTTCCCTTGATGACCTACACTTGTGTCAAGTTGAAGAACATCAGAAAAATGGATATAAATGAAAAAAATACAAGTGAAACAGGACTACAGGTCTTACTGTGATCCGTTCAGCAAGTAATGGGTTTCCAGCAATCAGCTTACGGGCATATTCAGCCATTTCTGACGCTTCCACAGCATACACATGCTTGGCACCAGCCTAAATTAGGAAGAAAATAATGGACGTTTATCAGAAAAACAAAAGCATAATGCAGACTTATAGTAGTTGTAGACCTCTGGGCCCAAAGTTTCTTAAATTTATGCATACCAGTGCAGCAAACAATGACAAAATTCCACTTCCAGCGCCTACATCGACAACAACACGGCCAGAAAAATCTGAACGGTTCTCCATGACTGCAGCATGATATGTACCTGAAGACAGTAATATGACAAAAAAAAAGAGCTATCTTGGGTCCAATTTCTGTTCGAAGAAAACAAAAGATATCCCTCTGAGGTAACAGGCGCATACAGGCCAGAGATTTTACCTGTCCTCACATAATCCTGCAGCATATTTTGCTGATGTAAAAGTTGTCCATAATAATGGAAATACATTTTGGCTGAAGCAGCCTCTATCTTATCATCGAACTTGCTTTTATTAGCTGAAACAACAGTTCCGTTCGGCACGGATGATCCTAGAAACAAAAGAACGAGGAAGGCATCAAAGAATGAGTACGAACAAGAGTCATGAATATATTATGATCAATGAAATGGGATTTTGATGAACGATATAACTAGGATGGGGAATTAGCACATTGATTCGCTATCTTCATTCCACTTATGAAAACTTCTTTTAAGAAGTGTTGCGAAAAACGGAGGTTTAGTTTTTTTAAAATTGACATAAAACTTGGTCTCAAATTCTAACTTAATTCTAATAAGCGAAATCAGATTCTTTAAGAGAGGTAAGAACAACCAACCCAAACAATATCAATGCAAACTAAACTTCTCTTAAGTAAACTCATCAAGAAAATGAGCATAGACATCACCTTGTTTAACATACTTATATAAGGTCAAATGCATCTAAATAAAATCGTCCGTATCTAACAAGAACCAACAAGAAAACGTATAACATTCCGCACCTTGTTTAACAGAATCCTTTTTACATTCCTCAAATGAATCACAAAAGTCCTTGCTTTCCTTCTCATCTCTAAATTTTATTACAACTCCTCGACAGAATGAGGATTTCTGGTAACAAAATCAGCAAAAACATATCAGATTACCAAGTAACACTTTAATTAATTTACACCAAATACTAAAATCAATCTCATAAACACTCACAAGAAGAAAAGGAAGGATTCACATACCTCCATTGCAGAGCCTGAACTATCAGCTACACAAATGAACTGAAGCTGCCCCAGCTTGAACAACTGAGCAACACAAATCAGTATATATATAATATCAGAAACTGGTTTCACGACTAAACTGAGATTGTTTTAGTGCATTACTTTATTAAGCAAAGACGAGATTAAAGTAGATTCTTGAATCATAAGAAAAGCAAATTGTAAATCGAATCGAGGAGCCACCTGAGTCGAACTAAGATCAAAACTGAAACAATCGGACGATTCAGATTCCTGAAATCGGAGTTCCTTGACTTCATTAACACATGAAAACGTAGCTACAACAGACGATGACGAAAGAGATGAGTCAGGAGAAGTGAGATCAGTGACGGAGGCGAGAGTGAACTCTTGCTGCTTATTAAGAGAAGGAATCTCCATTGTTTTTGAGGTACGGTGAATGTATAGATACAGTATGTGTATGTATAGATGAATCAAAAAAGGAATTTTTTAGGGTTTTTGATTTCTGATGAGAGCTTCGCGAGCTCCGACAAGAAGAGGAAGAGACAAACAAAAAAAGAGCGGCCAAAGGAAAGTGAAGGACTGTAGGGAATGAAACTGAGTGGTATTTCTGTAATTTAGTTGGGATAGTGGAGTTTGCTCTCTTTTTTCTTTTGGATTTTTTTGTGTTACGTGGCAGATGTACATTGGTCGACTGGGCTGCTTAGTTTGACTTTTGTGCTTTTGATAATTTGGGCTATTTGTGTTTACTCCTTTAGAACCCATGATTATTTTGGGAAAAATGTCGAAAAATTCGCGAACTTTCAAATTTGGGACGAAAAAAGCATGAACTATTGAAATGTCATTTAAATCATAAAGTTTAGGTTGACTTTTTGACAAAATAGTGAAGTTTAGTTTGACTTGGCCATTTCGGGCATGCCGTTAAATTTCCGTTAACCAGACGATAACGGTGTTAAATTTCCGTTAGATTTCTCCGTTGAGTCAAAACGACGTCGTTTTGAAACTCTGAAACGACGTCGTTTCATTAGAAAATAAGATGGAAAAACTGCATCTATCGGGAATCGAACAGCTAACCTTCAGGACTAATGAGAGGTGCTCAACCATTGCGCTATGATAACATTTTGGTATTGTACAAAACCGAACATATATATACTAACAAATAACTATATACAATTAATTCAAACAATATACAATTTATTAACAATAACAAAACTAAAAAACAATAACCAAACATATACAAATATTAAATATACTTCCATAAATATATATTTTGAAATTTTTACAATCCTATAATTTATAAAATCTTTATTCCTATAATTTATACAATCTTTAATCCTATATTTATGTGAGAAGAATTGTATAAATTTTATATTTATGTGAGAAAGATTGTATAAATTTTATGTCATATATTTAATTTACTATATTCTATAAGTTCCATTTTTGTTTTTTTATAATTTAGGAAAAAAAAAACAATTTTCCAAATAAAGAAGAAATCTTTATATATAAAATTAAATATTTAAAAATTTCAAAATATATATTTATGGAAGTATATTTAATATTTGTATGTTTAGTTATTGATTTTTAGTTTTGTTATTGTTAATAAATTGTATATTGTTTTAATTAATTGTACATAGTTATTTGTTAGTATATATATGTTCGGTTTGGTAAAATACCAAAATGTTATCGTAGCGCAACGGTTGAGCACCTCTCATTAGTCCAGTAGGTCAGCTGTTCGATTCCCGACAGATGCAGTTTTTTCATCTTATTTTCTAATGAAACGACGTCGTTTCAGAGTTTCAAAACGACGTCGTTTGGACTCAACGGAGAGTTCTAACGGAAATTTAACACCGTTATCGTTTGGTTAACGGAAATTTAACGGCATGCCCGAAATGGCTAAGTCAAACTAAACTTCACTATTTTGTCAAAAAGTCAACCTAAACTTCATGATTTAAATGACATTTTAAAAGTTCATGCTTTTTTCGTCCCAAGTTTGAAAGTTCGCGAATTTTTTGACATTTTTCCCTGATTATTTTGCAAACATGGACTATTTATTTTGGCGAATATCATCGGATGTTTATAAAGCTACGTTTCCATGGATAATTTGGTATTTATGGAAAGCACGAAATGATAAAATTTATAATAATGTGGATCAAAGTCCAGAAGAGATTTTGCGGTTAGCAGAGAATGAAGAGCAAGCTTGGCAGTTAGCTCAGGTGGAAATACCGGATAACGTTGTAGACTCGGTAGTGGGGAATACACACTCACATTCCATGATTGACGAGCAAAGGCAGGTTGGAAATGGGTTTCAGTGTTATGTAGATGGGTCTTGGAAGGAGAGTGATCGATTCTCCGGATTAGGTTGGTTTTGTTCTAACCCGAATGATGGAACGCAAGACATGGGAGCTGCTAATCTTCGAAGAAGCTTAACCTCACTTCACACAGAGGTCGAAGCATTAATTTGGGCGATGAGATGTATGATCGGCCAAGACAAGAGAGAAGTAGCTTTCTTTACAGACTGCTCAGACTTGGTGAAGATGGTGTCTTCCCCGCAAGAGTGGCCAGCGTTCGCAACATACTTAGAAGCGATTCAGAGCGACAAGGAAGAGTTCGACGTATTCTCATTATCTTTAGTTTCTCGAAATGCGAATGTGAAAGCGGATAAACGGGCACGTAATGTTCGTACCCAGCCGCAACTTATTACCTATGTAAACAATTTACCACGACATTTGCTCATTTTAGCCAATTTAATATAGCTGTTGACAAAAAAAAAAAAAAAAAAAAAAAAAAACCCATGATTAAAAAATCGCTAGGCGCTAGTCCGGCGGTCGGGTCGGACCTAGCGCCTGGCCAATGTTCTAAAAAGCGGTCTAGGCGGTCGCCTAGGCCCCGACTAGGCGCTAGGCTTTTATGTGACGCCTAGATAACCGTTTTGACCGCCTAAAATTACACAGATTTTGTTTAATGTATTTTTTCAATTTCAATTAGAGTTTTATTTATATATATAATTATAAATATTCATATATTGTTTAATATAAATATAAATAAATGTTTTATCTAGTTTTTGTTTATAATTTCATAATTTTTAGTTTTATATAGATATTTTATATAATTTTTATATATAATATAATATTTATAATGTTTTATGTTATAAACGTCTAAACCGCCTAAAAATCGCCTAGGCCCCGATTAAGCGTTCTAGGCGCTAGGCATTGGATCACCGCCCGCTTAGCGCCTAGCGCTTTCTTGAACACGAAGAAATCGGAGATTAATCGAGGATTAATCGGGGATTAATTTTAGGGTTTTTTTTTGTTTAAAACAATATATAAACTATATTTTTTTGCAATAGATGCCAAGTTATATCGTGGTCTAGTGGTTTGTGACGAGGTTTTATCTTCTGGTCGTGTATTCAATACACCCAACCTACACAGCATCATTCATTTTTTCATTTTTTTTAAGGAGGGTAAAAATGTAATTTCCTGTATCATCTTCTTTAAGAGATTCGACGACTCTGAAACCCTAATCTGCGGCGGCCATGAATGCTTTTTAACAAAATCAATCATTTAATGTGTTTTTGTTGTCTTTTATACCAAAAACTTATAGATCTAACACATCCTAACTTAATCCAAACTTGTAAAAGAAAAAAACAGAATTTTTATTAACTATTCCGATTATTTAACCGATTATACAATAATCCCGGCGGTAAGGTGTCGCCGAGCGACTAGCCGCCGTGGAATCGGCCGATTTGGCCGAGTTTTTGAACGGGGTTTAGAACTAATAAACGAGCTACTAATTAGTCAGTTCCATTTTATTTAATGTTAGGCCTAAACAATTTTTGTTTTTTTTGAATACCAAGAAGTTATGGACCAAACCCGTAATCCCACCAGTTCCGAAACCATAACATTTCTCACAGTTCCGATCTACTTTTATTTTGTGAAAAACCAGAAAAAGAAAGAAACTATTAAACTCGAGGATGTGATGAAAGTGACCATTACTGAGTTTCATCGGACTAAAGGGAGAGGAGGTTATAACTATAATTGTACTGGAGTATCTATCTCCATTGTATTGTATTATGGGATGGGGAAAGGTAGAAATAGAATTCAGAAAGTTAATACAAACTATACTTCTAATTACATTTTAGAGACTGATGTTTTCTAAGGCTAATATCTTTCACTTACTCCTCCATCAGGAGCTTGCATCAAATCTCTTCCTCATCAATGCAAGCTGAAAAGATCAGAAAAATCCGAATCAGAGAAATTGAAGAAGAAGTATCAGTAATCCAAATTCAACAATGACTTTTATCTTCTAGCAGAAATCACTTATACCATATTACTAAGTTACTATGAGAGCTGATCAAGTTTCACAACCTAGTTTCATCCAGAGATCACACACATACTAGTTAAAGGGAAAAGTGTCGAGAAGATTAATTTACCTCCGCAACAGAAACAACAGTAGCAGCAAGAGAAAACCATGGCAACATCTCTGCAAACAGCAGAAAACCCACCACCAGATGAAATCTCAGGGCTGCCAGATTCTTTGTCGCCGTCAAGGAGTTTCTGCTGATTGCTTTGACTTTGTTTCCCACTGTTGATCCTTTGAAATCTCTTCTGGCTAGTGCTCTTGAAAGAGTTACGAAGCTTCAATGATGGCCACAGATGCATCTCTTCTATAAGTTGATAATACTAAAGCAGTTCTTGGATAATAACACGCACAACGATCTTCTTTAGCGTCAAATACACCTCGATCTCTGGTTAAAGATTGACAATGAAATAAACTTAAGAGAAGATCAAAGAAACAATTTTGACATTACAAGACCAAAGAGAAATACAAAAGCAGGCAAAATCTCAAAATCCTCAAAATAAAAACCAAGAAAACATATAAACTCAATAGAGATAGTTACCAATTTGCTAACTTTAACACCAAATTCAAAGGACAATGACTTGCAATTCTCAAATCAGTAAGAAACATTAATAATCTCTATGCATTTACCAGAAAATAAATTCATCTCAAATCTCATATGTGTCACTGTTATCCAACTGAATTCACTAAGAAATGATGATTGAAACTGAAAATATACCAAATTTGACAAAGATTTCAATTTCTGTACTCTTTCTGGAGAAACAAAGATCCAAAAGGATAATCCAAACCACACACTCAGAGAAGATATTTAGGGAAACCCAAAACCTAAAAATCCAAAGTTGATGGACGCAAATCGATAGAAATCAACATGAGAATTCAAAAGCAGCTTTAAAAGATTGAAAGGCCAAGTTTTGGGGATCTCTTACCTCTCTTCTATCCAAGACGAAGCAGAAGATTTGTTTTTCTATGGCGGCACACGTAACCGTAAGTAGATATTTTAGTAGCCTTTTGTTTTTGAACTAAAAAGATTCCATCTTTTTAATTTTTTACGGCTTTTTGGAGTTTACTTTTACTCATTT